ATGTTTTTGTTTGTTTGCATTCTCTTGTCAAAACATGTGGGGTTTACTGAATTAATTGCCCCCCTGCTTGGGTGCCCTGATCTTACACACAGTGATTCAGATATGTGAGATATTAGGGAATTATAAGCTAACATGGCTGCAGTAGGATCAGTAGCACTTAATAAGGAAGATCTATACTCCACAGCCGGGCCAGATTTTAAAAGTTGCAGAGTTTTCTGTTCTGTACAATCATTCCAGAATATTCTAGGCAGTGAATTTATCTTGGGAGATTGTGAAATCAAGTTACAGGGAGGGTTGGAATGAAGACTAACTTGAAAAGTCAAAATAAGGGGAAGATGGTCACTAATAGTGAAATCTTTAACATACAGTTTAAAATGATGGAGAAATTAGGACATAATTGATAACACTGCAACCCCTCCTGGAAACCAAAGTGAATTCTCCAGAGTTTGGAAAGTCAGTCAAGCCATTTAACCAAATTCTATTATATTGCATACAAAATTTAGCAAAACAAATACCTATTGAGTTTAGGAGGCTGTCCTTGGATTGTCTTGCATAGGAAAAGGTGAGCGGAAAAGTGTCATCTTTTTTTTTAAAAAAAATTCATACATATAAGACAAACAATAACATACAAACATAAAAACATCAAAGGGGAAAATTCATTATGGCCCCGGTCACACGGGCCGGATATCGTGGGGGTGGGAGGCGTGGCTGTTTTCCCTGGAGTGAATTACTGCGCGGCAGCCGGATCAAACGTCCCGCCGACATCCCGTGGTTGGGGGGAGGTGCCGATCATACCTCACTCCTGTGGCACGGCAAAGAAGCGGTGCCGCGGGGGTTGTGTTGTTTTTTTTTAACCCAAGTATTCGCATGCGCTGTTGGGTGCTTGTGCGCACCCGTGGAGACTTGACCAAAAAAAAGTTTTCGCGATGGGACATGGGCGGGCGCCAGATGCCACGAGCTAACACCGGAAACGTGATCTGATGCCCGCCCTTGCCCCGCGGTTTCCGGAAACTAGTACCTCGGAGGTACTAGTTTTTTACAGCGCATCTTCAGAGTGAAGCCTCGGGTGAGCCATGGGAGCTCTACGCTTCCCAGATGTGGCGGTGAGATCGCACCCAGAAAATCTGCCTATCTTCCGTCTCTCTAGCGTGCCTAATGCTCCGTGTGACCGGGGCCTATATCATTTTTCCATGTAATCATTTGAACCTCATACTGTGACCAAAAACTTAATTTCTTGTTTACACCTTTTGATTATAAAAATTCATTTTACTCACAAATATATATATGCCGGGGGTTGGCAACCCCAGCTGAGAGTCATCCCAGCCTTCCTCACCAGACATTCGGGCTTCTCCCCCCCCCCCCATGCCTTCAAAGGATCCCTGCCTGGGGTCCGGCTGCGCGGCTTCTTCCTGCTGCGGCTTCTCTGCAACCCCTCCACCCCTGGAAAACCGCCTCTCCTCTTCCCCTCTCCCCCGCTCAGCCTCTCTAGCAAAAGGCTCCGCAGGTTTAACCCTTCCAGCGCTGCAGAGAAATGAAAAACACCTCCTCCCTTCTCCGGGAGGAGGAGAGTTCCAGGTGGGCAGGCAGCCGTGTGGGTCTGAAGCAGCAGAACAAAGGTTGAGTCCAGGGGCACCTTTTAGACCAAAAGTTTATTTTGAGCTTTCGTGTGTGCGTGCATTCCAAAAAGTGTGCCTTGCACACAAAAGCGCATAGCTTGGATGAACCTTTGTTGGCTCAGCTGGCCGTAACAATGCCGGTACAAACACTCAGCTAGCTACACGCCGGCACCTGGGAGGAGGAAGGGCTTCTGGGCGGTGTGGCAGCGGCGAGTACAGTTCTGGGCAGCGTGGACGCACTTACTGCCTGGAGTCTGGACTCACCTCTCTGGCCGGCGGCCGCACTAACACCAATGCCGGTATATACCTGGGCGCGGAGGGAAGGCACACACCCGCCCAATGGCAGTCTTCTGGGGCTGGGGGGAAGGCGGGAAGAGGAAGGGCTTCTGGGCAGCGCAGCGGGGGCTTTTGGCAGGGGTGGGGCCATCCAGTCAGAGGCTGGTGGCGGTCACCCGGGCCAGTCAAGGAGGGAAGCCAGGGGCAGTGAGTTCAAGGGCCTTTGGCGGGGGGAGGAGGTCAGGATTGGCACCCTTAAGGCCAAGGGCAAGCCCGCGCTCTAAGTGAGTGCCTAGCTCGCCTAGCAGATGAGCCGGCTCTGGTGGTAGGTGGGCTGAACACGCATCACTGACAACACAACACAAAATGGCGGTGTGGTGGTGAGGGGAAATCAAATATGGGGAATTCCTCACTCGAAAACTGCAAGTGAAGATCTGAAGGGGAGGGGAGAAACAGTGCAGAATTCATTCACTCTGAAAATGCGGGTTAAGGGATCTACTCCTGGGGAGGCAAAATTTTCTTTTGCATAGTTTGATTATTTAAAAATACAGACGTGGGACTTTGGTCTTTTGCGGAAATAATATTTCTCTTATCGGGCAGCTAGTAAAATTACCAGGAAAATTCCTGATGGGCAGCATTTTTCTGAACTCCATCCAGCCACATCCCTCTCCCTTCATGGGCCACTTGACAAAAACCCTCGCCAATGCTATCTCTTGCCAGCACTGCTTGCTTCCTGCCTGCAGCTGAGCTCTCCACCCATGCACTACCTGGGATATGAAACCTAAGGGGACAATTTGTTTCTAGGTGAAGAATGGGGGCAGGGGGCTTCCGGTGTAGCTCCCGAGGGCGTCTCGCCCGCCCGCGGTGGAGGAGGGAATCCGCGTGAGCAGAGACCCAAACGAGCACCTCAGGAAGAGAGGAGCTCGGATCCGGGGCGCTGTAGGGCGTACAAGGGGGGAGCCCTCTTCTCGGCCGAACGGTCGGGGATTGAGACTCCCGCCGAGCCCTGCCCCAATGGACTTTGCCGCGTCAGCGACCCCGTACGGGGTTTAGCGGAGCCACCAGACGTCACCGAGTGATAAAGCGAACAATCGATGAAACGAAAGAAGAAAAGATCGGCTGAAACTGTGAGTTGTCAAATGTGGAGAAAAAAGAGTCAAGAATGCTCCCCCCCCTTCAGCGAAAGGGACGAGGAGGGGAATCCTCCAGTCCCGTAAAAAAAAAAAGGACTTTTAGCGAGGAAAAATAGGGGGGGGGGGATGGACTAAGCGAATAGTGGTGACTTCCTTTGATGCATGCGGAATAAAGCGATCTCCTTGAAAAACATGACTTAAGAATTTATTAAAAGTAAAAGTAAACAAAATAACAAGATGTCGGAGCTGGGCTAAAGAAAAGCGAGAAGAAGGGAGGAGCTTCCGGTCTGGGTGTCTTGTTTGAGTGAAAACCGGCTGACCAATGGATGACTGTTTATGATTGTGATCCTGTCTGGGAATGTGAAAGAAGGATGAACTGTGGCAGCGAGAAAGTGCCTTTGTAAGCGCTTTAAAAGCCAACAGTTGCAAGAAAGAGGATCTGGCTAAGAGAGTGGCACGCTTAAAAGTGCCAGCGAGAATTAAAAGAAAAAGAGAAAATCCATTCTCAAAGCCAGAGACCTGAAGTGGCATGAAAGTGTAAGGATTGTGGCATTTACAGCTTGACAGCAATAACAGCGACCCGGAAGGGAAGGAGAAGAGTTGGAGAGCCGGAGAGGCGGAAACAGAAGAAGTTCCTCCAGAAACCCGGAGTTTAAAAGAAGCCAGCACGAAAAAGAACTGTTTTGAAAGCGTTTCTTGAAGAGACTATATTAACAGAGCATCATTTGATCACCACTAACATACTAAAACAGATAACATACTTAACCAGTTTGAAGAAAGAAGTTTGACAGCACACAGAAGAAGCCTAAGAAGTCAATATGGACATTATTAACAGATTAATATACAAGTTAAAATATCACTCAGCTTTCTCTTTTTTCCTCTATATACCCTCCCCATTTTTCTAATTAAGCGAAATGCCTCTCCTTTTTAGGAGAGTTAATAAAGCTTTTATTTTTTTAAAAAAGACTGGGGGCAGGGGGGGCTTCATCCCTTGTAACTGTTCAGGCATGCCCAGGTGGTTGCTAGGGTGAAAGGAGGGCTGCCACTGAGGTAGGAAGCAAGTATCCTCCCACTCCAGCCAACTCTGACTGCTTCCTGCCTTGGCAGGGGGGCAGGATTTGATGCCCTTTCTGGGTCATTTTAGCTTTACAGCTGCTACTTCCCATATATTTAAAGCTTCTAGAAGCTACAGTTCTCTCAGATTTGCCCTGAAAAGAATGTCAAGTCCAGGAACTGGGAGGGGAAGCAATGAAATATCTGTGAGGGTATCATTTCCAGTCAAGAAAATAACCACCAGCTATAGCAGCTTGTGGCGTGTTGAAGGATTCACAGTAGTGTCCATGGCTTAAATAAATTTCAATCTCAAAGTTCTTCATTTGCTGGTCCATCCCTCTCTCTTCTATGGAAACATGTAATCCTACTGATCATAGGCACTGATAAGGCCCATGGGGTACTGATTTTTGAAGAGGAAAACATAATATTAATGTACAATAAAAACATCTGAAAATTTTAATAAACATAGCTTTCCAAAAATCCTAAATATGCCCAAATAAATATAAAAAATTATAAATCACAGGTTTTTAACGCAAGTTTCCCTTCGAATTTTGCTGTCTGCACCTAGCTCAAAAGATAAGTACATCATCAGCTACGGTAGGGGGAAAGCAGATGAGTTCAGACTTATTTTGGTCTTTATAGAATGTTCTAAATGAAGATCAATACCTTTGATTTGTGTCTGGAAGAGAATGAGGAGCCAGCATAGACATAGTACAATCCAACACTCCAACCTTAACCTCATTTATCCCTTTAACAAAAATGTAACTCTTAGAAAGATTGCATTTATAGGCACTAGCATAATGTGCTTCCAGTAATCTAAGAGGAAGGCCACAGCATTCTGTACCAGATGCGTCTTCTAAACAAGCACAGTCTTGCACACAACAGTAACTGAACCTTAAAACTGATGAGTGCTGGGCTCCCAAATGATAAAAAAAAGACCTTATCCAATGGAGGGGAATAAATGAAGCCCGAGATACTGCTGCAACTTGAATTTCCGAGGCCCATGGAATATTCCAGACTTGCAAACACAGCATTTGAGGAGGCAGGGATTGATAGCTGTTACTTAAAATATGGTGAGAGAAAATTTCAACTAATTATTGTGTATTTCAAAGCAAGAAAATGTTATTCGCCAAATTTTAACCACCAAATTTTATATATAGTTTATAGAAAAATCACAAGCTTTACAGACTTGAGCTAGAAAAGTATACAATCATTTCCATTCATTAATACTTCATTGAAATTCACAAGTACCTACATGATGGGTTCCTATAGCATTTTCCCAAACTTTCCTTACTTCTATTTTTTTTAAAGTACATACATCATAGTTAGAAGAAATGTGGAGAAAGCTTTACTACAAGGATTGTGGATCTGACCAGAAAGCTCAATACTGAATATCAAATATTGTGGAGACCTTTTAAAAAAAACTTAAATATTAGCTACTTTATAAGCAGTTGACAGTTTAAATACACTGTATATAAAAGTGTCTAATCCTAGACATTTTAAAGTCTGTATCATGAATAGGTCAACAAAAGTGTGTCTGCCAAATCAGGACACTTAAATGCTCTTGAGATAAATGTTTAAAGCCTGAAGATGAAAGTCAAACACCTTAAAATAAACCTTTTTTAGATCAATACAACTTAGTGGCTATACATTTCCAGTACATTTCCTGTCTTCCTTTTTAAAAGAAACAGAATACGAAAATATAGGTTAGGCTCACACCTATGCCTTTAACAAAAATGTCCTCTATTATAGGATTTAAGAGGGGTTTTTTTCATATACATACTATCTTTTGAATACTGAATTATGGTAGAAGTTTCCTCTGAACAGGAATAAAAAAATGTAACAGAAGTAGTTTTGTGATTCGGTATTCAAAAGATACTATGTGTAGAATTTCAAACTATTATAAATCTTTCTGTATTTTCAGTCATTTCTATAGGAGACACCAAAACGTGAACTCAGTGGGAACATACAGTCTTCTAGAATGAAGAGAGCTCTTGCTTCCTGTGCATCAGAGTTCATGTTAATGCTTGTCCCTGGGGTCATCTACGTCACTTCCGTCTGTTTCACTGCTGCTTTCAGGATCTCGATGATTTGACACTCTATTCATCTCAAGAAAGCTAGTAATGAGCTTGGCCATGTCTTCTACATCACTGTTGGAAAGGAGGAGGGCAGCGTTAATTAAGCGAGTGCTCTTCTGAAAGAGCCATGGAAGTATGTGCTCTTGAATACACACACATAAACATATGCAAACATCCAAGAAAGGGGGCAATCGTTCAGGGTAACAAAACTGGAAAGTATTACTCATAAGGATCTCTTCCAGTTATTCATCCATTAAAGACCGGGGTTTTTTTCCCCCCTGTGACTGTTGTCCAGAGTCACAGAATTTCACACAAGTTTTCCTTTCACACTGGAAAATACTTCAGTGAGATGTCAGAAAATTATTCAAGGAATACAACTCATTCTTTTTAGCCAGCTAGCTTCTTAGGTGAAAACTATACCAATTAATCAAAAGGAGAATTATGCTTGTTCTCCCATTGATCTGTTGGCTAAGAAAGTGGTGGAATAAAAGAACTATATATGAGGAAGCAGTATGAAGCAACAATTTGGGAATTGTATATGCCTCTTCAAAAACCATATTCCACATTTAAGCATAAGACTCCTTAATATAAAGCACCTGCTGACATAGAAAATATTGCCACTGATAAAAATGCACATTTTCAGAATCTGCCACATGCCAGTTACAAGGACTTTTGGTGCATGAAGACATATATTGTAAAATGGTTTTAATGAATTGTTTGTGAACTGTTCAAAGGATTGTTTTAGATGTTTATATTGTTATTGTGCTTTTATCATGTGAGCCACCCTGAGCCTGCTATGGCGGGGAGGGCGGGGTACAAATCCAAAGAAATAAATGATGCAATGTACTGCCAGAACCTCAAGCAAAACAGTGCCATACATGCTTTCATTATGGTGTCCTTTCAGGAAATCCATTCCTGTGAACCTGCAAGGCTGTCATCACTCAGTTCAAACATCAGTCAAAGCCCATGGTTAGAGCGGCTGTTTGAAGGCAGATCATCAACTACAGATAGTTAGGGATTATCAAACCAGTGTCTAAAGTTGTTCTTAATTATGGTTTCATATACTGTATGAACACATGCATCCTGGCTTGTTCCTCAGTGATAATCTCCCAGGCTTCAGAGAGAAGACAATGAAATCAGCATTTGTCAAGGCAAACCAAGATCTGAACAGTTGTCTATGAGCAGAGTTATAGCTTCATAAACTAACTATAGTTAAAATAAACCATGGTTTCATATGCTGCCTGATATGAGTACAGAGAACATAAGAACTAGTCAGTGGCAGAAGACTTGCTAGGAATGGCTCCATGTCTTTATTTATTGCTGCTTTATTTCAACCGTACCCATCTATTACTATAAAAAAATGAATTTGTTGGGGCCCAGTTTAAGAAAACTTTAAAAATGTGTATTTTCTAGTAATAAGTATTATATATAGAAGGAAAAATATTAGAGAAACCATGACTATAAGTTTTTGACAGGCATTTTTATAGTGAACACACTTAATGGCCAGGAATGGAAGCTATCCAGGACCCTTAGAATGCCACCTTATGCTGCAGGCTGAATAACAAGACACAACAAATAAAGTACCTACAATGTAATATATGTTAATTGTGTAATGGCATATTTTCAATTTTAATCTGTGATGATGTACAAGAGGTTATCTAACCTTAATGCAACCCAGGCCATCATACACAAACTAAAAAACAAACACAACCTTTGAAACAAATGAAACATCAGCAGTTTATGTAGCAGCTAGAATCTTATTGTCACATTTGGGGTTAAATGTAGCTTCCTCACATATCCTGACCAATCACAGAGTAGTAATTTCACACTATACCTTCTACAGCCCATCACTGCGTTCTGAGTCAGAGGATGCGAAAGCCCCGTGACAAATCTCAAGACAACTAAGTAGCCCTTCCCAAAATAACGTATTTTTTCCTCCTGCACATTCACGGCTCGAATTTCATCCAAAGGAAAGACCACTACATGGGAAAGAAGGAGCAGAACAGATGAACTATCACCAGTTCTAAGCAAGGCTCATGTTCTTTGAAATGCTATGCTCCCACCTCCTACAGTTAGAAAAACGAAGTAAGTAACAGAACTAAAGACAGCCAAGGCACTAGAATTAAGTTGATATCTGGAAGTCTTCAGCAAGAGCTGGTGGTATGGAACTCTTTTGCCCAAAGCAATATCTCCCATTTCTGGTTTGTAGCTGGATTTTAGATTTCACTGCAATAACAGGATAGACTGCCTCTCAATATTTAACAAAACAAAACACCGCATCCTCCCATAATATTTATTTATTATTCAAATTTATACCCCGCCCTCCCCCGTAGGGGGACCAGCTGAACCAGCTGTAAGAGGCAAATCCTACAGCCATCGGTTTGATCTTTATAGATATATGGTTTCCACTTTAGAAGTATTTAATGGTAATGTTAGTGCTTGTCCTTTGGGAATCAAAGAAACACATCTGCAGACAGAACTCTATAGCGTTTGTGGTATCAGACTGACTGGAACAACCTTAGAAAAGACCACAGAGCTTATCAACATCATATGGGTCAACAACTGTCAGCTACAATAGCTAAATAAAACCTCCATATTCAGAGGCAGGGCATCTCTGAACAGCAGTTGCTGGGAGCAACAGCAGGGAAAGGCAATTACCTAAATTCCAGGGGTGGCCAAACTGTGGCCCAGGAGCCGCATGTGGCTCTTTCACACAGTCTAATTTAATGTTAATAAAAAGCAAATATGCATGTTTTTCAATAAAAATGTGTGTGTACTGTTTGTTCATTTCTTGCGGCTCTCAAACATCTGACGTTTATTCTTTGTGGCTGTTACGTTAAGCAAGTTTGGCCACCCCTGAATTTTAGGCAGTTTATTTCACTATCTCGCTAATGACCAGCCTCCCAGGAAGGGTGCTGTGTCAGAGAAAGTTCTCATGTTTAAATTGCTGCTATTAATTTGCAAAATATGATGCTTGTATCCTGAATTTTTCCTGCTTTGAAAAAAATCTTTGAAACACGGCTTTATGCTGGCTTCTGTGTCAGCAGGACCCGATGTTCTTCTAATTAGGATACACTAATAAGGTGTTTTAGGAGCTGCGGTGGCTCAAGTGGTTAAAACGCCGAACTGCAGGCTGTGGAAGGTTGGTAGTTCAGCAGTTCGAGACCCAAGTGTGCCGCATGACGGAGTGAGCTCCCATCTCTAGTTCCAGCTCCTGCCAACCTAGCAGTTCGAAAGCAAGAAATTGCAAGTAGATAAATAGGTACCACTTCGGTGGGAAGGTAACAGCATTCCGTGCGCCTTGGTGTTTAGTCATGCCGGCCACATGACCACGGAAACGTCTTCGGACAGCGCTGGCTCTTCGGCTTTGAAACGGAGATGAGCACCACAAACCTAGAGTAGGATTTGACTGGCTTTCGAGCGAGGGAAGCTTTACCTTTACCTTTAATAAGGTGTTTAATGTATCTCCTTCTCCTTAAGACTCTTCCCATTTGATGGACTTTCTGCGTATAAGGACTTCGTTCCTATGGATGAATTTTTCAAAGGCTTTGGATTTTTATACAAGAAAAAATAAAGATTGTAGTTTTCTATGTAATGTCTACATGTTATATGTATTGCACAGTTCATTTAAAAATATATATAAAAATACAAAATGTACTCATAAGAATTGTTAATCAGTAAGGCTATCACGATTTAATCCCATTTGGCACATATGTTTCCGTGATTCTCTCTCTTGGTTTGAATTTACAACCTATACAGGTTACAGAACACACAATTCACATTTTCTATAGCACAGAAAGCACATAGTTCTGAAAATTTCACTACTTCTGTCCCAAATGCAGTGCTTTGTATTCATTACTTTACCTTGTTCATGGCCAGCCCTTGACAGGGTCAGTAACTTTTTGTAAAGGCTAAATGTCTCCAGAAAAACTTTTCCTGCATCCTTTTCAAATACAGCTTCCTGTAAAAAAAAGTTTTTAAAAAATCACAGCATAGAAATAGCTGTGAGGCTTTATAAAAGGAGCATTTAGAAGAAGAAGAGAAGAAGAGATTGGATTTATACCCCGCCCTTCACTTGGAGTCTCAGAGCGCTTACAAACTCCTCTTCTTCCCCCTCCCCACAACAGACACCCTGTGAGGTGGGTGGGGCTGAGAGAACTCTGACACAAACTGCTCTTTTTCAAGGACAGCTGTGCCAGAGCTTGTGACTGCCCCAAGGTGACATCAGCAGGTGCAAGTGGAGGAGTGGGGAATCAAACCCAGTTCGCAATTAACTGCAATTATTTCAACAGTGAAGTAAATGTATAACAGCTACATAATAATAGATAATCATTGCTGTCCTATTACTGGATAGTATTCTTCAGTTTTGCCTTCAGCTTCTTGAAGGTGAAACTAATCTGTAATGATTTCAAGTTATATGTGTGTTTCTTTAAATGGTTGATAAGTGTCAGAAGAACAAGGGGGAAGAAAGAGGGAGATGAGTAAGTGAGGTGACTGGTTGGTGACTGAGTGTGTGTGTGTAGCTAGGAAGTGTGTGTGTGTAGAGAGAGAGAAGGCAGAGTGTTCAGTCAGAAGAGTGTAGTCAGTAGTCAGCAGCTGTCAGTTGTGGTCAGTCTACAGAGTCTGAGAAGCAGTCTTCTAATTAGAATCATATAGAAGTGCTGTGAAAGGCATTAAGATTCTAAAGGAGGAAGAAATATACTTAAGCAATAGCCTCACTCCTCCCCTTTAAGAAATTTACTTCCCCAAAAACAAACTCTAAATTATCCACAGCTGCAGGAGCTGGCTCTCAGCCAACTGATAACTCTCAGCAAAGGCTGGTGAAAGAATATCAGGAGAAAAGTACGGCATTTAATCAAGAGAAATCATCACTAGAGCAGCTAGATAAATTAGAAGACACTATATCAAAACTAAAGAAATCCCTAGCTAACCTGAAATTTGGGGAAACATCTTTAGAAAATACCCAACAAAAGGAAGAAAGGGAAAAAAGCCTAAACAAAGAAACTCCTCAAAATAACCAAGAGCAAAGTTCCTTATATGCCAAGCAGGGTTCTATAGGCAACTACAATATAAATAATTATAGTTTGTATTTTATGTCTGTAAATTGAAATAAAAAATAATAATGATAGTAAAAAAAGTTCCTGCCGTCCTCTTAAGTCTGTGGGCAGAAGACTTTTAAGTGTGCTGTAGATTCAGTGAGTGGTATTTCGACATTGTGTCCAACACTACTATTGTGTACTTCCATATACTGCAGAATGGGGGAATCAAGGACTGAACCTAGAATTATCTACATACAAAATATGTTCTCTGCCACTGAACTTTGACAGCTCCTCCTCAAATGTAGTTAAATTCAGGTTGGTACCAGCTATCAAACTTGATGTCTCGTTTGCCATGTATTTGTGGAAATTCCAGAGGAGGGGGGAGTATGAATGTGTGAGAGTGAGAATGGCTTTATTGTAGGGCAATGCATCTCATGCAACTTTCTGAAGATACCTCCCTTTCCCAGGGATGTTGGCACCAGGAGAATACTAATTAATCTCCAGTTTATCATGGTGGCGTGTGGACTGACCCTGGGCCAGTCACACAGTCTCAACCTAAGAAAAGAACAAGAGTCCTGTAGTACCTTAAAGACTTAACAACATTTGTGGCAGGGTAGGAGCTTTCATGACCTGCACCGTCAGCTAGAGGGGCGCCCCAGGATGTGACCCCTGCCCCTTCTGCACTGGGCACCCATCTGGTAGCCCCTAGTGAAGAACTGCGTGGCAGTGGCCACCCTCCAGGATCCTTGCCAAGGGTACACAGGATGGTGGCATTCGGAAGTGGTCAGGCTGAGCAGGTGCAGCTTGTTGTCCTCGCTGTGCTCTTCCTTCCAGCTCTCCTGTGCCTTCAGTACGTGGGCAGCCTCCCCAGGGCAGCTTGGGGTGGCAGGTGACAGTCTCTCCACCAGCATGTAGCAGTTATGCTTCTCCATTTGCCTACCTGGACAGAGGGAGGGCACAGCCATAGATCTCAGTGCAGACCTCCCTCCTCCCAGCCGACCTCGCTGCCGAGCCAGCCCCGACACAATGCAAGCCCCAGAGATAGGGGGCGCTGAAAATTTGAAAGGGGGTGCAACCCTTATTGCCCCGCCACTGGCTACAACCCTGGTTGGTACCAAAGGTATGTGGTCACCAAGAAGCCAGAGTCAAAATACGATATCTTTAGTCCAAAGGAGTAAGTATAAGCCAGTATGGCAGAGTTTCAGACTAGGATCTCAGAAACCCAGGTTCAGATCTCAACTCTACTGTGACGCTTGCTGGGTGCCCTTGGACCAGTTACACCCTCTCTCAGCCTAACCTACCCAACAGGATTGTTGTAAGAATAAAATGGGGAGGAGGGAGCCACATACACTCTCCTGAGCTCTTTGGAGGAATGTCCTTGATAGCTATAGAAAACCTTAGATCAGAGAATAAAAAGGGTTTTGACAAGAAATTAGAATTTAGTCAATTTCTTGTTCCTTCATTAACCAAAGACAGACCTTATATTAAACTCTAGACCTGTGAGTGGAAGTGACCAAATGGAAAATAGCTGGTTGTAGATATGGAAGAGTTGGCAATCGACCTTGTGACCTTTGAACAGCAATTCAGGTATAAAAAACAAACCATTTTTTAATCAGGCCAGGACTTGGCACTGACACATCTTCAATTGGGGTTGTTTTGCACTGCACCAAGGATGGATGAGATTTCAGTTAACCTCTCCATCCTATCATAAAGCGGCTCCCCCGTGAGCCATTTGTTGTAACAGGTTCATGTCAAAATGACTTCACTGGTCTTATTTTTGATAGGACAGAAGGGCCCCCCGCCCTCTCAAATGTTAGGCCTTAAAACAGTTGGTTTTATTGTTCTTTGTCTTGTAGCTGCCTGGTACAGCTAACATGACGTATAATGGGCTAACCTTGCATATCCCAGGCTCCTTGCCTGGCCACATGCTCTCTGGATCAAGAGACATGGATCAATGACTGACTTCTACCCAGAAGGGTAACATCTGGTAACTTGAAAGCAATGTCTTACTGTGTAGCTAGAACCTTAAAATGTAGCTTATTTATTTTATTCCTCTCTGCTATGTTCTTTTGAAATATTCCTGCACTCTTTAATAAATATCTTTTTATTATACTTGGGTGTTCTGTGCTTCAAGTGCTGCAATCTAATTTCAGTGCCTTAGACCTTAAGAATCTACCTATCAGGTTAACTGTTACTAAAATTCATTCTGCAAGTGACCTACCTTGCAGGGCTGACTTTCCTAATTAATTCCCAGTAAGGTTAGAAGTTTGCCCCTTGGCTTCTGATTGTGTGGGTAGTTCAACAGGCTGGAGGCAGACTACCAACTGGGATGTGTGTGGACGCACACCCTAGGATTTTGTGTAATTTTGTCTTCTGCCTGCCTGTACCAATAATCCCCTGGATTGGATATTCTTGACAGTTTTAAGTAAGAAAAAGTTATGGCAACATTGCATTTGAAGCTCTGACTAAATATATTGCATAAGGAACAGTTTGCAAAGCACTACAAGCAGCACTGAATAAGATGCTTGCAAACCCAAGATCTTCAGAACAAAACAAATGTGCAGAAGCCAAATCCTGTTATATACAAACTACTGTAAGATTTATCAAGTGTATTTTTATTTCAAAACATATTTAAGAAATTACCAGATAGTGGTTCACTCAGTGATTCAGCAACACTCCTATTTGTAAATTATTTTATGGTTAATGTTTATGTAGCAATTCCAGTTGCTGTCAACTTTATCAAAGCTGAGAGTCTAAAGTAACATGCCGCTTTAGACTGAGTACCATCAACAGCGTTTTGACTAAGGCAATCACAACTTTCAGTTCATAGCACACTACTTACCTCCCAGTCCTCAAGATTTTGCACAGCTACAAAAAGACAGCCAGCAATATAGAAGAGTTTCCATCCAATACTATCTGAATAATACAAAAATATTTCAGCTATAAAAAAGCGGAATCCAAAAGCTCACATATATGCCCATTTTAAATCTTAAAACTGCAGCCTCTTCTGCAGTCTGCAAATTCAGATAGCATCATTCACCAGGAATTTCTCTAACAGCTTTGGCTTGTTTGTCAGTTCTGACTATTACTGGGACAGAAAGATTATAATCCATGCCTTGGTTGCTTCCAGATCATGCTACTGTAAGATGCCTTTGAAGGCCACATGGAAACTTTAATTTGAAATTGTTGCGGTCCATCTTTTGACAGAGGATATGTGGTTCAACAACTTCCTTGATTATCTACTTGTTTTGGAGCCCAATTCAAGTTGCTAATTTCAGTCCTGAAATCCCTCAAAAGCTTGCGAGGAAAGATTCCAAGGGAATGACTGGTTTTCTACCTTCCTGTTCCTCAGATCTGCCAGTGAAGCTCTATTCCTAATACTATCACATGTGGATGCCAGGCTGGCATCTACTAGGAACACGCGATGTTCTGTAGTCACCCCAATATTGTGGAACTGCCTTCCTTCAGAGATTTGGATGCCTGTGTCACATGTAACATGCACTTTTTATGAGACCTACCGGGCTTTTAAGGATATCTAATATGTATGTAAAATGAAGAATTTGAGCTATTTTAACCAATTGTTGATATTGTTTCTGCACGTACATTTTGTAAACAGCTCTGAAATTAGTCTAGAAATGTCATAAATAAGTCAAATGTCTGTATTCAGTTATCAGTATTCTAAACACAATAGGAATAAGGCCCACTGTGGAAATAAATACAACGGCTCTAGAAAGAGGCTCTGGGCAAGTGCCCCAGCCTTGGGCACTTAACATCAATTTGCTGTGGTGACACAGAGGCCACTATTTTCTCCAAGGGAACTAATCTCTGCCATCTGAAGAGCAGTTGTGCCTCTGAGTGATCTCCAGCCCTCACCTGGAGATTGGCAACAATATTTCCCCAGGAGGAAATGACTGGTTTGGAGGGTGGAGCCTAAGGCACTGTACCTGTCTGAGGTTCTACTCTCTCCAAGCTCCACCCCTCAAATCTCCAAGAATTTCCCAACCTGGAGTTGGCAACCCTATCTCCTTCCCAGCCAACCATCAACCTACCTTTATTTATTTATTTGGATTTGTCCCCCGCCATAGCAGGCTCAGGGCGGCTCACATGATAAAAGCACAGTAACAATAAATATAAACATCTAAAACAATCCTTCGAACAGTTCACACACAATTCATTAAAACCATTTACAATATATTAAAGTGCTAGCAGTTGACTTAGAATATTGAGATAGTCTCATACAATCTATAATTTCGCTTGATATCAGCACGGTGATCGTTCTCAATTTCAGTCGGCAAGCACAGCTGTCAGTAATAGGCCAGGCACCAGGCTTCAGTTGTTAGTAATGATGGTAGTGGTTGAAAGCCTGGTGGAAGAGCTCCATCTTGCAGGCCCTGCGGAACTGCAAAAGGTACAGGGCTCTGATCTCCTCCGGGAGCTTATTCCACCAGTGTGGAGCCACCACCAAGAAAGCTCTGGCCCTGGTTGCAGTTAGCCTGGCGTCCTTGGGACCTGGAAGGGCCAATCGGTTTTGTGACCCTGACTGAAGTGCTCTCTGGGGTATATATGGGGAGAGGTGGTCCCTCAGGCATGTCAGATCCTGCCCATATAGGGCTTTAAAGGTCAAAACCAGCACCTTGAAGCGAATCCGGTATGCTATTGGCAGCCAGTGCAATGCCTTTAGCACAGGCCTTAGTGCATCAGGTTTGTTAAGACTTTTCTTAGTCGAGCCGCCAAGATAAAGGCGAAAATTTTATAATCTGCATTAAGAAGCGATATCGGGCACTTCTGGTTTTCGGCAACTAGCAAACGAATGCACTCCACTGAGCTCCGATGGGTGCGATTCAGATTGAGGTGGCAGGGAGGGTGTTTGGAAGCCTTCGAGCCCCCCCGAAGCTCTTGTAGGGAGCTTCTAGCCTGGAGCGCTGAAGGAGCCGCTCCCAAAACTGTGGCTGGAGGATTGAGGCTCTTTTTAGCTCCTTAAGGTCCCGCTGCCCCGAGGCCAGCAATGGCGACCAGAGATGTTACCGGACCAGAGCGCAAAAGGACTATCCCTACGGGATGACACCCAGTGGAAGGGGTAGAGTTTGGGAAGTGACATCACTTGACCTTTGACCTGTAAGCAACATCACAGAACATGACATCACAAAAGTCTCCTGGCTCCACCCCCAAAGTTCCCAAATATTTTCCGAATCAGACCTGGCAACCCTAGCAGTAAGTGAGGAAAATAAGTCTTTGTGGCTAGTCTATTTGAAGAATTTCAGAGAAAGAAGAACTGTATCTATCTAAAACAACTATGCTTATGCTTCTAAATAAACTCCATTTTAAGTGAAAACAACTGTTTTATTTACAGTAAAAGATTCCTTTTACCTCAGAGCTGCCACCCCCATGCGCAGATCTTTGTATCATTCTACCAAGTATAACTAAGCAATCCTGTTCTTTGGATTCAATTGAGAAGTCTAAGGGGAGTGCCTTTGGTGGTGCCTTTGGTAAGTAGAAAATCCTAAGGAAGGCAAGAAGGCAGAATAACACATCATCTTGGGCCCTGGTCACACGGCAAAGTTGCCGTGGGAGAGGCACGGATGGTGGGTGGATTATCCGGGTGCGATCACACCCCAACATCTGGGAAGTGGAGCACACCCATGGCTTACCGTCGAAAATGCGTGTTAAAAAACTAGTACCTCCAAAGTACTAGTAAACGTTTGCCACGGGCTGCCTCCAGACTCCCGTGGTGTGATCACGCCGGTGCATAGCATTCCCCTCTGGTCCCTCATTTACCCGCCGGCGCCGAGGGAAGGACCCGTGGTGTGCCACCGGCGCGTCTGATCGCGTAATCGCGGATCAAACTGCGCCAGGGCAATTAGCCACGCCTCCCCCGCGATATCCAGCCTGTGTGACCGGGGCCTTAGAACATGACCGACAGGTGCTGTTACAGGTGTTGCATACAAAGTATCTCAGAGAGAAGCGAAACCTTCCACTGATGCTTCGTTTCAGCTCTGTTTTCTACTTGCTTCCGATTTCTGCAATCCAAGCCCAATTGGTTTATTTATTGGATGTCCCGTCCTGTTGACTGTATTGATTCACTGTGCTGTAATCTGTAGTCTCAGTGGTAAAGAGTCCATCTACAAAAGGGTCCATGTCTTGTGTCATCTACCTGATTTATTTTTATTGTGACCGAGCTACGGAATGCTGATTTATGTATACAATTCAAAACCTCTGCCAGGTAACCTAATTTTTTAAGGAAAGCACAATAGAAGCTAAATAAAGCAAAATATGTTTTGCTACAGCCTTTAAGAAAGACATTTTCGTTTCTAAGACAGTTCAAGTGAGTTCTAATGAAAAGTCCCTACAGAAGTTACTGAATTTTACCTTCACTGTAGTAAGCAGCAGCCAGGCCCACAGAAGAGATTCCTAGAAGGAGAAGAGAGAAATACAAACTCACTACAGCTATTTATAAAAATTATCAGCAAAATATTAAGCTTTGCTTGGTCTTTCTACTGTTCACCTTCATACCATTTCAAAGAACTGATCACTTGCTGTGAAAAGAAATCTTCATTGTGTTCTAATTGTCCCATGAACAATACCCACAAACCCAAAGAAACCACATTAGTCAAAAGGACAACTTACTAGGAATCTCCCTAAGGTACCAAACTTAAAAATATCAAATCAGTCCAGCTCCAATATTTTAGGAAGGAGAAAAAATGTATGGTATGTACAAAGATTGCAGTCTTACCTACAAGAAGAGACCACGATCTTATGCCAGGTGACCTCTTTAAATGAAGAACATTGTTTGAATGGGATTCAACCAGCATATACATTTTCAGGAACCAGGGGGGAATCCACAGAACCCAACTGCACTCACAAAAGACACCTACAGAATGATGGAGAAAAATGACAATTGATGCATTGCTTGCAGGGTTCTCCCAGTTTCTTTTTCCTTGGGAATACCCTTGGTACCTTGAAATCTAACCACCAGATTCTCCAAACTTATTTGGTGCTTATTACCAATGTGCAAGTGCTGACAAATGTATGTACTTTTAAGCAGAAGCGGCACTTTTAATATCTGCCTCAGCAACACTCAATTTAAAGCAATTACAGCTTTTCCGGACACAAAATTTCAAATTCATAACAATGAAACAATACCATCACAAGCTTCCCCCCCCCCCCAAGACTGAAACCCCCCGTGTTTTGTGAAAAAGTTACTGTACAAGCAAGGCATGGTTTTAGTGCGCACATTTTAAAACTGAAAGTGACAAAAAGAGGAAGTCACACTAACATTTCCCTCCATGTGCATTACAGCCAACAAATAGTATTTGAAAAAGCAGAGAGCAATTCCTCCCACCCCCACAGTACACCACCCTACAACTTGAGGGGCTTAATCCTCTCTCCCCGGCCATACCTCCGCCACCTCTTTCTGTTCCTTGCCCTCCCTTCCTTTCAAACTCACCTAAGCTACCGTTTCCTTCGGAAGGAAAAAAACGACGCTTCAAATATCATAGACCTAAGCGGAGAGTCCTTCACATTCAGCCATAGAGTTTTTCAAAAGTAGTTCTAGAGTGCCGAAGAATCTAGAGTTGAGGGGGGAAACAAGATTTCTATTCAATATAACTTCCGGTTCCGATTAGACGCTTCTCGTGCGGGGCAAGTGTCAGCATATGAATCGATTGTTCACACGCGCAAGAGAATGGGGTGGCCCGGAAAGGACTGCGCCACCTCAGACTGCACGTGGAGGATCACATTTGAGAATGTCCCGTAAAGTTAATAACGTCAGGCAGGAAAAAAACGACCCAGCAAGCACAGAGAATTCTTCGACCCAACGTTGGAGAGGTGGGGGGTTTGTTTTTTGATGCAAAGGACGTCAGAGCTAGAATCCCCCTAGAACCTAAACTGGTCCATTTTACCACCTCAGAGTTTCGCCTGCCACCTCTTTCTCTTGAACTTCTCGGCCGAATGCAGCTCTTTTTGTAGCAGGGACTCCTTTGCATATTAGGCCACACACCCCTAATGTAGCCAATCCTCCAAGAGCTTACAGAGCTCTTCTTACAGGAGCTACTGTAAGCTCTTCGAGGATTGGCTACATTAGGGGTGTGTTGCTTAATATGCAAATGAGTACCTGCTACTCTGGTTATAACTTGCTACAGATGGGAGCTGAACGGAAATAGATGCTTCATGGAAAGGGCCCTGTTGAAACATGCTTCGGCATTGCGAGGAATGGGATGCATCCTCTTTTCCAAAGACCGTATAACAAGTAGCACTTCAGCAGGTCCAGCCTCCCCGTCGCTGTTTGTAAACGAAAGGAAAAAGCTCAGTAAAGGCTGCTGCTGATCATGAGCTCTTGTCACTTGTTTTCTACATTTTGGGGTAGAGAACATGATGATACTTTCAGTTCAAAGCTTGCTGTCGTCCATAAATTTCTCCAGTCTGCTGCTACATTGCTATTTTCCCGGAGGCGCCTGAAAAGCACCCAAGTACTGCAAGGAGATTAACGGGGGTGAGGGGTGTCAGCATTTGGAAGAACTCCGAGTCTGCCTTTTAAACTTGTGATATGTTAACTTGCATCTCAGGTGGACTGCAACTGGGAAGCTAAAAGTTTCATTACAGAACCATTAAATCTGTAGCCCTTCGCCAACTACTACTCTTCCCAAGCATATTTGTCAGCAGGGCGGGTGCTACCAGTAGGACAACTAGGGGAGCGCAGACATCACGGGCACAGAACTGACAATCCGCATTAGCTGTGAAATCTGTCACAAATCTATCAGGTGTAAATTTTCTAGTAAAAAAGGAGGAAGTTGAGGTAAATAGTGTGAATCCTCCTGTCATAAATCTTCCAAGGGTGAATTCTCTATGCAATTGGCTAGAACAGAATTAGCAATTAGCAGGAGGGGGGGGGGGGTGAAATCATGTTGGCGTAAACAGAGTGTGAGATTGAGGAATGAAGGGATAAGAAAGTAAGCCTGTATCAGCCTCAGAAGAAAGCAAAGACAGAGGGGAAAAGAGGATAGTGTTTCACAATACTCCTGTAGAACATCTTATTGTTGGGGAAATTATTTTTGGCAGAACAGGATACACATAATAAGGAATTTAGGTCCAGAGGTAAGTGATTAATATATGCTAATCCACAGGGATCTTAAATCAAGGTGGGTAGCCATGTTGGTCTGAAGCAACAGAAAAAAGGTAGAGTCCAATGGCACCTTTAAGACCAACAAAGTTTTATCCAAGGTGTGAGTTTTCGTGTGCATGCCCACTTCCTCAGATGATGAAATGGAATTACATATCATAGTTGTAAGTGGTTTGTTAAATTAATATGCAAAATAGTGACGACAGATTTTTTTTAACAGATCAAAAGAATGACAAGCTTAGTTTCTGGTTATCTGTTTCGCTTCAAATGGGGGGGGACAACATAGGTAATAAATATGTTAGAACTGGCGATTGAGGTGCCATAATTTGTGAGAATCCCATCCTTAGACCCCATCCATCTCCTTTCAAGCATGGGGGTGAATTTTACAGCATCTTGGCTGTGCAGAGTGTTTTCCGTGTCCCCAAAACAATGCAGTTGAGAGCTGTATGTGACCACTAGTGGTGTTCTGTTGGGCCTGTCTTGGAAGAAGGCTCTCACACTTCTTTAATTCTGCAAACGATGGGGAATTTCAGATTACTCTTTTTAAGCCATTATTGTACCGTCTTGAACTGGTACAGGGGTAGCCATTTCACACAGCCTTTCCCCTACCGGTAAGGAGCCGTCTCTGAAGGGGTTTGGCATTTCAGACTGCGCCGTTTTGTTTTCCCACCCTTTTTCGCCCACACGGGCAATCTTCGTCTTTTTAAAATGTTCTTTTAAGAGCGCTCTAGCGCTACAACACCACCAAAACAGCACAATAGTGACCCCATTGGAATACCTGGACTCCATTGAGATACATGAGATTGGGGGATTTAAAAATAGGAAGTGGAAGCTCAGGAATGCACAGTTTGAGAGCATTTTTTTAACACTAGCTCCTTCCCAGCTAGCAAACAGCATCCTCCTTTTGATGGCCAGCATTTTGGAATGCCATGTCTCCAGGGGGGACCTGGGCATCCCCTGTACTTTCAGCCAGTGTTCCCTCTAAGCTGAGTTAGTGTGAGCTGGCTCACAGTTTTTTAGCCTCCGGCTCACACGTTTTTGTCTTGGCTCAGGAAGATTGGCTCCAGAGCAAACTAATTTATGCAGTAGCCAAATAACTTGCTCATAATTCTAATGCCAGTAGCTCACAAAGTGGAATTTTTGCTCACTGGACTCCACAGTTTAGAGGGAGCATTGCAGAGTTACAGCTTATATCCTGCCTACAGATATCAGTTCCCAGGCATATAGCGAATGCTGTGGAAGGAGGACTCCATGGCATTGTACTCCATTGAAACCCTTGTTCTCCCCAGATGTTGTGATCTCATGTATCTCAGTGGTCCAGGCATTCCAATGGGGTCACTATCGTGCTGTTTTGGTGTTGTGTTATAGCACTATAGCACTCTTAAAAGAATGCTAAAAAAAAGACGGAGATCGCCCATGCAGGTGAAAAAGGGCAGGAAAACCTCATCATCGGAGGAAGTGCTACGGGGGCATTTTACACAGCACCCAGTAGTGCTTCAGAAATGGTATAGAAAATTGAAGACCGCATTGAAGCAGTTTGCAAGTAAAACAGCTCAGGAATGCTTCCCTAATGGGACAGGAGTGTTTGTATCTGAAAGGGACAATATAGTCCGTTACAGAACCATTACTAAAATGGTTCTGTCTGAAATGTCAGTACAGAAACCGTTAGTGAAGAGTTCCTAAAGCGGAACATATGGCTGTCTGAAATTCTCCTATGTAAAAGAGTTGCTTGTGAGGGCATTTTTATAAAGCTTATAGAGAACAGGACTGTAATCTGTGCCACAGTGTATGCTATATATTATTGATTTGTTGTATGTTCTATCATGCTCTTACAACATTGTTTTTTTATTTTTTGTAATTCCATTTTCTGCATTGCTTGACATAGCGTGTTTGATACTTTTTTTGCATTTTTCTAATTTTTGTAAGCCTTGTCCAATTGCATTGTTTATTAGATTTCATATTTGATTACAATATTCTATACTATGTAATCCACCTTGAGTCTCAAGTAGAAAAGTGGTAAATAACTAATAAAGTATAAATAAATAAATAATAAAGTAAATAAATAATGATGGGCTGACCACCACTGTACTCATTTGCCCCTCCAATAAAAATTTTCTAGCTACAGGCTATGTCTGGAAAGAAATGGGCAGAAAGACAAGAAAGGGGAGGAAAGTAGGGAAATTCTGCTGTAGCAATATGCAGAGCATAAGACTGAATCCAGGGAAGACAGAGGTTCTATGGCTGGGAAGGGAGGCTTCGGGGTTGATGTTCAGGCTCCTGGGTCTTGACGGGGCACCATTGATACCAACGCACTCCGTTAGGAGTCTGGGTGTGACTCTGTATGCTTCCTTGTCTGTTGAGGTACAGGTCACAAATACTGCCAGATTGGGGTTTTACTATTTATGCTGAGCACGGCTGCTGGCCCCTTTCCTGTCACGCCCCAACCTAGCTATGGTAATCCATGCAATGGTCACCTCCAGGCTGGACTACTGTAACTCACTGTATGCTGGCCTGCCCTTGTAATTGACCTGGAGGCTCCAACTACTCCAGAATGCAGTGGATCGAGTCCTGGCGCTAATGCCATGGACAGCACACATACAGCTTGTGCTGCGCCAGCTACACTGGTTACCAGTGGAGTACCAAGACAGGTTTACGGCGTTAGTGGAGACTTTCAAGGCCTTGAGTGGTGAGGGACCTGCATACCTTTGGGACTGTCTCCTCCAATATGTCCCCAGAAGAATGCTGAGATCAGCTGATACAAACTTGCTGATGATCCCTGGCCCTAGGGAGATCTAGCTGTCCTCGACTACGGCCAGGACCTTCTCAGTCCTGGCCTCCACCTGGTAGAACTCTCTGCCGAATGACATCATGGCCCTGCGGGATGATGCAATTCTGCAGGGCCTGTAAGGCAGAGATGTTCCACCAGGTTTTTAGTTGAGAGCAGCAACAGGAGATTAAGACTGGTACCTTCTCTCTTTTCTTCTGTGGCCCCCACATACCCTTCCCTGCCCTGCCATGTGGGACAGCAGTGTAGCCAGCAAAGGAGAACTACTGTATTGGCATCTTGATTGGTTTTAACTTTTTGTTTTACTATCAGTAATTTTGATTATATATTACTTGTATTTTGAAACTCCGTGATGTGGTAAATCACCCAGGGTGGGCAATCCATCAGTTTAATTAAATAAAATAAATAAATTGCTGCAGAGGAGCAAGTGCTGGGAAAAAAATACCTCTGCACTAGAACTTTGCAACTGCTCCCACACTTTTGCAACTGCTCCCACACCTAAAGCTATATGCATGCCCTATTTACAAGTCAGCAATAACAACCCCTGGGACTCAGAAACTATAGCTGGCAGTAGATGTTCTCAGCCACAGGTGGCTGAGGGCAAGCTAAATTAATAAACACGCCAAAACATCAGCACTTGGCCTGAAAATTGCAAAGAAAAAGAAAATAAGATTTTGATGTGCCTGAAATGAAAACATTTGAGAGACTTAAA